AAGCAAAGCAGCTGATGCCATAGTAATAGTCACTAAAAAAGTGTGCCAGAAATTATATATTCAGAAAATCCACCATGGCATTGCACTCTAAGGGTCTACTTTCTTTGAGCAGCAGAGCTGAGAATTCTGTTTTCCAGAAATGTTAAGTCCTAGAGTTCTCAATTTCGTTCTAATTTCCTGCAAGACATGGGAAAGACAGCATTTACCTATAACTGATTTCTTCTTTAGTTAGTGATCAATCCATTTCTTGAGAAATTCTCACCGCTTGTACAATGTAAAGAAAATCTTGTTGGATTTTAACACCATAAATGGACCAGGGACAGGAAATGCTAGGTTGTTAGGGTTTATAGGCTGATTGGTTGGTTGGGCTTTTTTTGCATTTCTGAAAGAAAAAAACACTTGTTTGGCAGCAGTGACTGAACAAGTCTGCACAAGACTAAACATTGTATGTTCCCTGCCCAAAGCTTAAGCCATGCAGGCAGCACACACAGCACACTGGAAGGATAAACAGCCAGAGGTTATCTTTAAAGCAATGTCTTAATATTACTGTTTTCTTGCTTCTCCTAAGTGAGATAACACAGGACACCTTGAAAAGATCTGAAGTGCTGTACTTTGACAACAATGAACATCAGTATAAAAGTAAAACTGGGTAGCTATAATAGATAGTGAGGACAGGAACACAGTAACTATAATGGAATTAGTTTTCCTGTACTCTTGAGTTCAAACTGTCTTCTGCTGACTGGCAAGTAATTTGTATTTCAGACTCTACTGATTTGTGGATACCTTCATTGCTTTCATGAAGACTGTAAGCGGATATACAAAGATTATGGACTGGAAAATTGCAAATTCTAATTTTCACCATAAACATAAAAAAAGAACTAAGCAGACAAAGCAATATTTTGGAAAAAAACTCCAGTGAATTAAAAAGGAATATTTTTATTTTAAAATATATGCTTGAAAATTTTGTCTGCATAAAAATCTCTACTAATCATCCTGTTTCACTCAGCTGTGCTTCATCTGAGAGCACCTGTGTCAAAATTTTGCCATGTTTTGCTAAACCTGCTACAGCTGAGTTTTCAACTGTGAGTACTGTATGAAGCTAGTGCCAGAAGTGTTATATTTATAGTATTTCTGCTACATCGATGGTATTTCTGGCAATGAACTGCCTGATGAGCAAAGATTTTTTTGTGGTATAAACAAAGATGCAGCAAAACTGCTAATTATTTAGTGAAAAGACATAACTTAGACCTATACCAGTAGCTAGTTTGGCCTCATGGACAGAGTGACAAGAGTTGCAGAGCTGGGGAACTGATATTTATGAGGTCTACAACGCTGGAAAAACAAAAAGCATAACAGAGAAATTCTAGTGTTCACCTGAGCACTATATGACTACAGTGCTGTTAATTGGCCCATCCTGAAACAGACAGGAGACTTGGCAGAACTAGTGTGAAAACAGAGACTTCTTGACTTGGTATCTTGACTTCCATGTTATAATGACTTTTAAGCAGCTCTGAATATCAGATGAAAATGTTTTCAGAAACCAATCATGCTATATAGTCAATGGAAGCTTTTACACTGAGAATAATGAAGCAAGAAAATCCTAATGTCCTTGTTTATCCTGCAGATGAAGTCCATGCTTATAGAGGCTTCACCATTTTTATACATTCAGTTCCACTGATGGCTACCACTTCCAGCTCCAGTTGCTAACGTGGCTGATAGCCTCTGCATCTAAATGAAATCACCATTTCAAAAGTAAGCAGAACAGTGAATGTAAGCAATATTGTTCTCTACTTTTTAATTCAAATGTAATTACTAATTTCTGCTCCTATGAAAAAATGTTTATAAAAATTACTTTGAGAAAAGGCTCAGTGTTTTCATAGGATACGACATATTAAAAAATTATTGAGAAGAATAAGTGAAGCAGATTACTGTATTCTGCTGTCTATTATCCCTGACCTCAGAAGAAAATTTTTGCGACCATCAATAGTTTCCAGTTATTTAGCAATCTGTTGGAAAACGAACTGATTTGCACTGCTATCAAACTGGTATGGACGGACTGAGGTTTCCCTCCCACTGGCACCTTTAGTTTAAAGGCCTCCTCATCAGCTTGGCAAGCCTGTGGCCGAAGATGCTCTTCCCCTCCTCTGACAGATGGACCCATCAGCCCCCAGCAGGCCAGGTTCCTAAAAGCTTGCTCACTTAAGTCCTATATACTGCAGAGTGCATTGTCAGAGAAAAGGGATCACTGTAAGGAAGTAGAGGGGTTATACTTGCTGTAGCTGTGCTAATGTTTGAACAATGAATTGATGTGCTGAGGCAGCTGTATAAAGATTCTCACTAAAAAGTATATTTAGATGCTTTGTTTGAAGTTTGACAAGCTGTCACCTACAAAGGCTGAGGGTGGGATGGAGGTAATAGGCACCCCCATGCCTATGGTGTTTGGGCCACTGGAAGAGGCTCAGAACTGAATTAAGGTGAACTACAGGGAAATGGCACAAACAACGAATCTTAAAGCAAAGTACGTTTCCCCATAACCTCCCCATGGAGCCATACTTTAAAGGTCGTCTGAGAGCTCTCATGGTGCTGCCTTGTCAGTCTGTTGGTGGCAGAAAAGAAATCATACACTTCTTTTTCTCTAATTAACCAATTGGACATGTGTTTTTGACTCAGGACCCACTGTGTGGCTAGTGACCATATTGGTTTCCTCTTTTGTCTCCATATAAAACAACTCTATGGAAGGCTCAAGAATCTGTCAAATTAACCTGCTGATGGGTATGGGAAAATTACATGTAGTGTTTGAAAATATAACCCCCTCTTTGACTGCAGAAAGGACAAGTTATGCAACTCCCCGATGGGAGAGAGAACCCTGCTTGAATTATTTGCTTCCTCTGATTTTGTAACTGCTGCACTGGGTTGCAAAAGACTGATAAAATCTATTTTAAACATAGAGCATAAGTGCTACAGACTAATATTATGATTCATCTACTGCCAGCTTCCCCAGTTAATCTCCTTTCTTAAAGTTCTGTTGATAAATCAGTCATCTTCCCATTTATTAAAGCATGTGGCAGTCTGTTTATTTAATCATCTCTTGGCCCATTTTCTAATTAAGGGAGATAATGCAGGCTCATTTCCTGTCAATGATGAACCTGGCAGTCCACAGGTTGTCCTCAACTACCACATTAAAATTCAAGACTATTTGTAATGCCTGCTTTGTCTGGCAATTCTTTCTCTTCTCCTTGCTCAGCTGAAGAGAAAAATACAGGCAGGAAGTTTTTTCTGCATTTCCACACTGCTGACCCCCACCCAAGGACAGGAAGAGGGAAGCAAGTGAAACATTTATTTGGGAGATGGTGAATCCCAGCAAAGTCAGTAATCATATTATGATCCCAAGAATAATTCTGTGAAGGGAGGAATACAAAAGGAAAGCACACACCAATTGGAGCACATTCCCATCTTGCTCTGCTGCTGGACTTGAGTAACCTCCTGTACCACTCTGGCCCCAAACCTTCACGTGTCAGCTTTGTGCAGAGGTATTGATATCCACTAACTGCAGCATTAAACGATTTTTGTCCTCTCTGTATTCTAAAGCTCTTCTAACAGATTTAAGATCACCTCTTTTCCTATGTCTGAGATATTCTCGTTTGTATCTTGCTTATGATTCAGCTTCAGTATTTAATAGCTGCAGGCTAACTGAGCATCACAAGTCTGGCAGAAAAACTCTCTTTAGCAGGGCTGCCTTCTATCTCTTAGGACATATTTATATAGCATATTAAATTCTCCTATGCAGAAAAAAAACATAGATAGATTTCAGCTTATCAGTACTTGCCAAATGAAGTGTCTTTCAGTGGGCCTTGCAAACTATTGAAAACATGATGATATGTCCTGTCTTACTTCACAGACTCTCCTCCAATCAGTGTAAGTATATACAAGAACCACACCTGCAACAATTAGCTCCAATTCCTGCAGAAATGCAGGCAGACATAATTTTGCTGCACTTTCAGAACTGTTTCATAATCAACTATGCTATACACAGCCTTGCAATGTGCTTTTATGTGAAACAACTATAACATGATATGGTCCTGGGTATCCTTTCTAGAGGACACAGGGATTTGGACTACATGATATCCACATGTGCTAGCCAATACCTCAGCTGTCCTGTGATTCTGTGTAAAGAAAGAGAAAAAAGAAAACCCAGTGATTTCTAATTGGCTGAGTGACACAGTATATTCCATATTCTGACCTATGGAGAAATGTCTCTCTGATCCCTTTTAAAGTTGGCTAAACACCCACAGTGAGGATTTGAACTGCTTTCTGAATGGTCCCTTACTTTTCCTTCTCTGCTTGTACTTTTCTTATTTGTATTTGCATCCATTTCTGGGGCCTTGTTTCTGGAAACAACGATTTTAATTGAAATCTATTTCAGTCCATAAGGAAGTGTCTGGTTTTGTTAAACTGCTAATTATCTAAACATCTGTCTCACTTCATCTATCTCAGAGTGTGCTCTGGATCTAACACATTCAATACCTTCAAGAACACCTACTTAAAGACTTAAAAACCCTCAAAATTCACCTTTATATAGATAACTGTTCCCTTTACATGCATTTAAATCACTGCTATGAGTATGAGTTACTGCTATGAGATGCTGCTACTGAGCAGTGAAAACAGACAAAATAAAATTATATTCTAAATATTTAGTACAGGAAGAAACAGAAGACAGAAACAGAAAATTTCTATTTTCAAATGCCAGGATTTTCCACTTTGTATTTTTCCATACAACATACATTGCACTTTTCTCTTTCTAAAGAGCCTACTAAGGATTTCAGAAATTCTGCAGCAGAAGGAATGTGTCTATGCAAAGAGGCAGAGTTCATCCCTTTAGAATGTTTATGTTGAACGACAGACCTTGTTCCTAAAGGAAACTCACTGTAACAAGGATGAAAAAGTCTTGGTGAAGGGAGGAGGAAAATTTCCTAGAGCTTTTGCCTAGACTGCACACTTACCAAAGGCTCTAGCTCTTTGCGGTCTATGAGGTTGAGTTCTGTCACAAAATAATAAAAATGCTTGTAACAGGTGTTGACATGGGCCTCAGCCCCCATAAGGATGATACGGTCAAAGTGATGGATGTAGACATGAACGAACACCCGAAAAAGCCGACAGAGTATCTTCTTGCAGATCTGGAGAAAGTTCTTTGGAAAGGGAACACCTGTGAATAGAGAAGGCAAGGTTGTCATAACCACGCTGCCATCCTCTCTGGTTACATTTATTTGACAGCTAGCACCAAAGATAGCCAAATACTTAAACAACTTTAATGGATCAAGACTGACAGGAATAAGTTATTTTTCTCCTGTGCATAATTTAATGAATACATCCAGTATTGTAACATTCAGAAAGGCAATTTTCACCTCAGTGCACACCAACCTATAAACCTCAATGGATTTATGTCATGCAATAACTGCTCCTCAAAGTGATACAGCAGAGCACTTCTTAGATGTAACACAGTCTTCCTGCTCAAATTACTCAACAGTGGCATTTGACAGCATCAAATTTAATAACAAATTTGAAATAACTGACAGAAGGATCCCTTTGCTTTCAACTTCCTCCCAGTTACATGTACCAATCTGATTGCTCTTTTAATAGAAAATCTCTTGAAGAGATACAGGAATGGCTCTTTCAAAAAACTTTTAAAGTTACACTACTTTGTGGCTGGAGACTCCAAAGCAGCTGCAAAAGCACCATTTACTAATAAACTGTCAGGCATCAATAACGGGGCACAAATAATTTCTACAGAACTGCTCTCCATTAAAGACTAATGTTGCATGGAGTTATGTGCCACTAAGCTGTCCCCAAAATCTTAAAGTTTTATCTCCTATGATTGTCTCTCAGACATAATGACTTTAGTCCCATGCTCAGAATTTTGCTGTAGCCGTGGAAAGGGGTTTTAACCCTTTAAGTGCAGCGGAAATAAGATGCACAGCTACCTGGTGGTCTTTCACGACAGGAAGAAATAGACAAGTTTATTCAGAAACACACTTGGTTTTATAGCATGACTCGCAATTCCAAGAGTAGAGAAAAGGTGATTGGCTCAGAGAAAAGACACCCCATTCCCAGGGCCTGGTCACGCACCACAACAGGTGTTCTATCTTGTTATTAATTCCTTTTTATTTTGACCAAATTATCACCCTGGGAGAAATTCTCCCTAGCCTTGAGCTGGACCAGCTTATCGGCTGGGAACAGAGCTGAAAAGCTCCAGCCTGGAATATTTTTCAGGCTGTAATTTTCTTGCTTTCTCAATATGTGTCCCACACTTTGCTATTACTCTACTCCGTTGCACAGTCTCCTGATTTTTTAGTTATCTAATTCATGTTTTAGTTGGATTTGAACCACATAAATGCAGCTATTACTTCTTAAAAAAAAAAAAAAAAAGCCACTTCACAGCCAAGCATTTCCATAATGCCTAAAAGCCCAGTTCATGCTTTGAACAAGAAAAACATTTATTATTGGCAGAAATCAACACTTTCGCAAACTTTCTACTTTTCCTGTTAAATATTGCTCAGCACTCACAAGAGTGGTTAATTAATGGAAAAATTGCCCACTTTCACTGAGGGTGATGTGAGGACATACAGAGAGAATTTCCATACCAAAACCAGAATTTTGATTACAGATAATATAAATTACCAACTGTGGCTGTAACCAGTCTGCATCTGATCAACATAACCATGCATTTTATTTTGGAATCCCTGGCAAAGGAGGTACCAGGATATATCCACTGTGGATATGAACACTGGTGTGTCCATCAGCCTGTGAGTAGAGAAACACATCAGCCTGCAGAAGTATCCCTGAACTGCTTCTACATTTGCCATTGATGAGTTGCAGATAAAGCTGGGAAATGTCTTGAGGTTTTTCAGCCTGTACTGTATTCACCAGATATTTCAAAACCCTTTTGAAATAATTTTTAGTGGCTTGTAAAGATGCAGTGCTGCCCTTCTTATTTCTGATGTACAAACCAAGGATCAGAAAAATAGCTGCATCTATCAAAGCACAGCTACTTTATCTTCTTAAGAAATGTTTGGTTTTTTGTTGTCAAACCCATTCATTTAAATGCCAAAGCTATTATGGAAGGTCACTAAGGATAAGGCTTGAATGCTCAAGACATGAACTGAGACATGGTTAAATTATAGAAATGACAGTATGTACAGATGTCTTGGCAATGTTTAAACTTCAACTCCACACAATTAGCCAAGCACCTGGATTATAATAATTGTTGTTATTTCCAAGGGCAAATAGACATAATCTATCAAAAACATAATAGAAACCCCAAGTAGTTGCTCATTAACTAGGGAGATCACATTCACATTCCAGCCATCAGAGCATAGGTAAATTCAGTTATGATTACAACAGCAACTTGCCTTACATTTCTGTAAAATATACCCATACCAGAAATTTAAAAATACACCCAAAAAAAATGTCAAGACTTAAAAAAGGGAGAAGGGGAATAACTGGCACTTTTCACTGCAAACTGGTTTGCTGAACTGAGAGGTGAATTCTTGAAAGCACTGTATTTTCTAATCCAAAACAGGTATGTTTCAAAATGGAGAATTAGTTTCATCTTCCAAGGGCTGACACATAATTGTTACTGAAGAATGTTGCTGTAATGAAGACATTCCTACTTCTGTATTAACTGACTAAAACAATCTGAATAAACCAAGCTGAAAAATCCTTTAGCTCCTCTTCATGTTCCCAGTTCACAGTTACAGACAGTAAGTGCAAAAGCCACAGAGCACTGTTTCTGGTGCAAGAGAGGACTTTTATCTGACAGCTTTTTAGATGCATTATACAGTCAATTTGAGAACATGTAAACAACATATTAAAAAAGATAACTGGTATAGAACAGCCTAGGATTCATAATAAACTTGCAGTGTTTCCCTCTGCTGCTCATGAGAATCAAGATTTCAGACAAATTGTGTAGCTTCACTTGCTGTTGCAGAATGTCTCATGTTTTGTGGAGTTGTATCTGATTCATTTAAATAATAAGTGAAGCATTGCTGCTATCACAAATATATCATTCGGGTACAGCAGAATTGGTAGTAGCTCTCTGATTTCTTTCCAATTCGGGCAAAACTGATTTACAAACTAACACAGTATCCTAAAGAGTGAAAAAGCATCTCCTAGTATCACTGAAAGCAACTGATAACTGTGTAGAGAGCTACCTACACTCAGCCTTGAAGAGCCTACCAGCCTGTCTGTTTGTCCCTGGCACACAGAAGAGGCTCAAAATCTGGTCAGCCTCAAGGTACAAATGCACATATTGAGATGTCTACAGCCCTGTTTTGAACATACACCCTGCTGCTCTTTGTGCTCAAAATTAGATAAAAAAGAACAGATTTTGACCTCAATTACAATAGAATGAACTCAAAGTAATGCCATCAAAATTGAAAAAAATCAGAGCAAAATGATTCTAGATTTATATTCTGAGGTCAGAATTTGGCCTAATGTTTTGTTCCCATTGCAACTCTACAGTTATAAATAAATCAGCCACAGAACAGAGTAATTACAAGTGGCTCTTGGGACTGGACTAACTTAGATTTAGATCATTTGGTTTGTTAAGAAACCTGTTCTGTCTCCTTCATTTCAGCCACAGCAGAGTTTGCCTTAGAATCATCAAAGTTGGAAGAGACCCACAAGATCATCCAGTCCACCCAGAACTATGACTGTAGTCCCTGCAACACTAAACCACATCACCAGCACCAGACCCAGGCACCTCTTGAACACTTCCAGGGATGGCAACTCCACCACCTACCCCAGGCAACCTATTCCAGTGCCTGACCACTTGGCAGCAAAATTTGTTTTCTAATCACTGATCTGAATCTTCCCTGTCTCAGTTTAAGGCCATTTCCTTTTGTCCTCTCACTGTAGGCACAGCAGGAGTGACCAATTCCCACCTCCAGTTAGCTGGAACTTCTCCAGTTAACCATGACTGCTGATAGATGATTGAGAGGAGTTTGGCAAGTTCTTCTGCCAGTTCCTTCACTACTATGGAGTGGATCCCATCAAGTGCCATAGAGTTGTGTTTAACTGGCAGAGCAGGTCGCTAATCACCTCAACCTGGATTATCTGGGCTTCATTCAGCTCCCTCTCCCCAGCTTCCAGCTCTGGGGGCTCCATATCCTGAGGACAACTGATCTTGATATTAAAGACTGAGACAAAAAAGGCATGAAGTACATCAGCCTTTTCCACATCCTTTGTCACTACACTACCCTCTGTATTCAACAAGTGATGGAAACTCTCCTTGGCCCTCCTTTTGCTGCCAATGTATTTATAGAAAGTTTTTCCCCTGTCCTTAAGTGGAGGCCAAATCAAGTTCTAGCTGAGCTTTGGCCCTTCTAATCTTCTCCCTCCATGGCCTCACTGCTATCCTGATAGTTCAGTGAAGTTATCTGGTCCTTCGTCCAGGGACAATAGATTTCTTTTTTCCCTAAGTTCCAGCTGATGTTCTCTGTTTAACCAGGTCAATCTTACTCCTGACAACTTGTCTTTCTACATGTGGGGACAGCCTGCTTCTGATTATTTAACAATTCCTTTCTAAAATACATCCAGCCTTCCTGAACTCCTTTGCTCTTCAGGGCTGAGTCTCAAGAGATTCTTGTCAATCAATCTCCTAGACATGTCAAAGTGCCTTCTGGAAGACCAAGGTGAAAGTTCTGCTGGTGCCCCTCCTTACTTCACCCAGTATTGAAAACTAACATTTCATGGTCACTATGCCCAAGACAGCAACTGACCACCACATCACCCACTAGTCCTTCCCTGTTCACAGTCAACAAGTCTAGCAGGGCACCTCCTCTAGCAGGCTCATTTACCAGTTGTGTAAGGAAGTTGTCTTCCACACACTTCAGGAACCTTCTAGACTGCTCTCTCCCTTGTGTTGTATTTCCAGCAGACACTTGGCAAGTTTAAGTTGCCCACAGGTATTAGGGCTGGAGACTGAGAGACTTCTGCCAGCACCTGAAGAATGCCTCAGTCTGTTCATCCTGGCTGGGTGGTTTAACAAACTCCTACTACCCGCCCTACTGATCTTTGCCCTGATCTTCACCCATGAGCACTCAACCTTCATCATCATCATCAATCAATACAATCAAAACACTCCCTAATGTACAGTGCCATCCCATCCGCTCTGCTGCTTTGCCCTTCCCTTCTGAAGAGTTTATA